AGATAGATGGAAAATATCTCCCTATGACTGAGCAATTTGAATACTTGGGTAGCATTCTCAGATATAATGGCGGAGCAGGCATAGATATCCAAAGCCGGCTAAACAAAGTCAGGAACTCCTTCAAAATGATGAACAATGATGTGTGGCGGTCATCACAGGACGGAACACGCACCAAGCGCAAGATCTACCATAGCTGTGTTCTGTCTACCCTTTTGGATGGGTCATAAAGCTGGCAAATGACAGAAAGTGATCTGAGAAAGCTGTCGACATTCCACACCAAATGTCTGGTAAAAATCTTGCATATGTTCTGGCCTCAGACCATTTCCAACAAGCATCTGCTTATACAGTGCGAACTAGAGTGCATTTGTACCATCATCATGCAGAGACGATGGCGATGGATAGGTCATGTTATCAGGAGGGAGAGAGACCCATTTTCGACAACGGCACTCCACTGGACACCGAAGGGTAGACGCACGCGAGGCAGACCCAAAAATACATGGCGATGCATTGTCGAGACAGAGATGAGGGGCTTAGGCCACAACTGGAGCTTCATTCAAAAGCTGGCCGGGGACAGACAACTACGGGGGTCCTTTGTTGCTGCTCTGTTTGCCAGTGAGCATGACGGGTAGTGAGTGTGAGTGAGCGACAGGAAAGTGTAGGTCTTTAGTAAGCAATAAGGTTTGGAATTTAAATTACAATTCCTGGACGTAAACGTATAGAAAGTACCTTCTTTTTAACACAGGGCCAAAAAAAAAAAGGAAACTAAATATCTAGCATTCTCCTCGCTCTCACCACAAACCTAATCAGGTTTTTTCTGCAGTTCAAGATTAGCATAACGATCAGGGTATTAGTCAAAGTGAAGAAGCGGGATGTAAACAAAAGTTGGATGCTTATCTTGTTCGTTATGTCTAAAGTTTAATAGTAAAACTAAAACGTTCGCAACGTACCATCGCAGATGACTCCATCTCCAGAATATCCTGTATGACACGTGCAGTCGAATGATCCGTTGGTGTTGGTGCAGTTGGCATCAGCATGGCAGTTATCTACGTTTGTGGCACATTCCTCAATGTCTGAAATTGAAGCGCTATTTTCCTGAACGGAACTTTGTTTTATGCGTCACTGATACATGAAAAACACTATAAAATAATACAGGACTAATATTCAAATCCATCTTGATTAGTTGACAGAAAATGTACTCGCTTTCTTCCGTTTGACGGATTCAAACGGACATATTTCCTGGTCTTAAAACGATCAGCAATTAGATGGATCAGGAGTTAGTTTAGCAGTGATTTTTTTTTTACTTGAGAATAGTTGGAAGGAAAGATTTTGCACACGTACCATGGCAAGAGACCCCATTCCCGGAATAACCATTGATACACGTGCAAAAAAATGACCCTTTGGTGTTGGTGCAGTTTGCATCAATGTGACAGTTGTCTATTTCTGCTTCACACTCTTGCACATCTGTTGAAGAAAATAACGGAAAACAATTATTTCGTGAATGTAGTTTACAGTGGTCTAGATATTTGGAGAAACTTTTGAATTTACAAAATCGATAGAAACTTTATGATTAGTTTTCGCTTGTTTTTCATCAAATAGTGATTAGTAATAATGATTCAATAACATTTTCTACCTATACACGAGACACCGCCACCAGAATATCCATTATGACAAGTGCAATAAAACGATCCCTTTGTATTGGTGCAGTTGGCGTCAACATGGCAGTTGTGTGTTTCAGATGTACACTCATCGATATCTATGAAAGAAGAAATGTTTGCAAAATCACAACTGTGGAGATAATAAGAAGCTCCTTAGCTCCTCGACGAAACGTGTTAAAATAAATGATTGATTGATTCCGTGATGGAAGGCCAAACAATCCGCTTGAACGTCATGCGACAAAAAAGCCTGATTCCCTTTTAAACGTGGTCTCAATTTCACCCAGGGAGTTAGGAGCGTTAACGTAGGCACAAAACCAGAGGAAACTCTAGTGTTCAATTGTAAAACAGTCTCCTGAACTACTTTAAACCTACATGTTACAAAATATGTCCATTCTTAATGCTGCTATGCAAGGTGCGTACCATTGGTCGGAAGGAACCGGTTGGGATGACTGTTGAATAATAATAATAAGGCTTTCCCAAAATCAGCAACTCAACGAAAAGAGATGGCGCTCACCATTTTATAATTCAATTATCCGTTATTGTTTTCCTAGATGGGAAACTGGAAACTGGAGAATTGAGCAAATGGTAAGGGACTTTCCAACGCTCGAATCCGAACGAACTCTGAATGTAGTCTACAATTTGGAACAGTGTTTTCGGAAAATTACTCTTCCATTAGACTTTCATCCGAACATTCTGGGATTTTGGCTCAATGGTTAACATCCATAATCACCTGTACAAATGCCTCCGTCTCCAGAATGTCCCGTATGACAAGTGCAGGAGAACGATCCTTCGGTGTTGGTGCAGGTGGCATCCAAGTGGCAGTTGTGTATTCCAGACAAACACTCATTGACATCTAAAGAGAGATCATAATCGAATTGTTAAAAAATCGTTTTGTTTGTTTTTTTTTTTCTTAGGCAACTCTGATGTATTCAGTGTCCGAATAGAACACAAACTATTGAAAGCATGAACATTCCGTTGGACTGACATCATTCCACTGTAGGATTTCAAAACAATGGGCGAAATATAAAACACGAACGATTAATGCTTGATGAAGAGTAACATAATTTAGCATCTTTATTTACCGTCGCAATGTAATCCATTTCCAGAGTATCCGTTCAGGCATGTGCAATAGTAAGATCCTTTTGTGTTTGTACAGTTAGCATCATCATGACAAATGTGAGCCAAGTGTTGATACTCAGACGATAATCCAGATGGGTCACATTCGTTGATATCTTTTGAAAGACAAGCGAAAAACACTATTTAATTGCGTATTTTACAGGTAAGTTGTTCATCTGGGACAAACGTAAGAGAACTGAGACATAATTTTGGACAACTGTGGTGAATGTGTAATATATCAGTGTACTAAACAAATAATTTAAGCTATGAATCTAACTATGTAAGCTTTCTAATCGACCTCTAACTCTTGTAAACGTTTAACTACGAAGGCAATTTATGTCCGTTTGACACAAGTCCGTTTTTTGTCCTCTGTTGCCTACTTACCAACACAGTTAACCCCATTACCAGAATAGCCATTAAGACACGTGCAGTAAAATGATCCTTTAGTGTTGGTACAGTTGGCATCAGCATGGCAGTTGTGAGCAAGATGAAGATATTCATGGAATATTTGATTAGGAAAACACTCGTCCACATCTAAAGTAAACAAGTATGGTAAATATGGTGTAGTCTTTTTGCATTGAAAATTCCAGGATAGCCATGCAAACATAAATTTACACACATTCTATTCCTAAGAAGGACAATTAGAGTCTGTAAATTCTTAAGCTACAGACATTTCATAAAGTCTGTAAATGGTCCAAATTTTCTAGTGATATACGACTTTCGTGATAATAAAATAACTAAAGCTGTACGTACACGTACTTGTGGATATTTGATTTGGTAGTATTCCCACTTTGAGTTTTGGTCTCAAAAATTTAAGGAAGATTCTGGATTTCCTTTATTTCTGAAGTACCAAGTATAAAAACAAAAATGAATAAAAATTAAATCCAGAAGTACGTTCACGGTACCAAAACAATCCTTCATGATTTTGAACCGATGAACACAATTACTACAGAAATAAATGCGTCACTAATGCTTTGTAATATTTCAATTTAAGAAACAGTTGTTTTACCAACACAAGTGACGCCATCTCCAGAATATCCCGTGCGACATGTGCAGTAGAAAGATCCTTTGGAATTGGTGCAGTTAGCGTCAGCGTGGCAGTTATGGGTATCTGTTGTACATTCCTCGATATCTGTCAGTTTAGAACAAATACCGAGAATTTCAAATTATTTTCATGACACCTATAAATCGAACTGCTGAGCTTGACACAAGCTTAAAACAGGGCAAGAAGGGTTTATCTACCAGCACAAGTGACTCCATCACCGGTGTAGCCCGTATGACAAGTACAGAAGAATGATCCCTTGGTATTGGTGCAGTTTGCATCAACATGGCAGTTGTCCTTGTTCGTTGAACATTCCTCTATATCTAAAAATACATAAAACGGATATCAAGGATATACTTTACAGATTTACGGTTGTTCAAAAAACAAGACCGGGGATTTGTTTCGACAGCTTTGAAGAAGAGAAACTACGGATACAAATTATTCAGTCTAGCAGGCAATATTCGCTAGTAATTTTACTCTCCTTGTTTACTCTCCTTAATATTGAGATGCATTCAATTTAGCTCTTTTGGAGGTAGCTGATTTTAGAATTGTTTTCAATTAACTTTTTTAATACGTAATACATGTCAATAGATCATTACATGTCAAGAGCCTGACGGTTTTAATCCACGAGAATTCACGAGCCAAAATTATAGCCATAGCTCGAACCAATCTCGCTTGGTATAGCACTGAGGCGTCTAAAAAGTTACGATTAGGGAGTGAAAATTCGTACATAAAACAATATCAGACCCTTAGAGAAGTATACGTATACTTGCGTATATATATTTCACCCAAGGACAGAGACAGGTTTCTAATCAAGGCTGCGTTAATTGTAAACAATGCAACAATAAACGATGAATCAGGAGTTACAAGAAAGCCGTCTCAAATAATGAATCAAAAATTCAAAATGCTTCCAAATTGATCAAACAAAATTGCCTATAAGGAAGCATGAACTAAAAACTGTACCCAGTCTATAACTTGATAGAAGCACAGCACTAGCAAGGGCTGTTAACGTAATGGTGACACTGGCAAAGAAAATTGACGCTTTAATGATCGAAATAGAATCAAAATAAGTTTTGATGATGAAATAAACGTGTGATTTCTTTTATATTTCTCTTAGTGTTTTGTAAAAGAGATAGAAAGCATTTCCTCTGAATTTCCATAAAGATATAGGAACAGTCATAGAAGTTTGGGAGACACTCGCCAATTGGCTCGTGTTCCCACAGCATTTCTCGTTCTCTAAAACTTGCACTCGTGTTTCTGTAACTCGATCGAAACAAGGAAAATGTTTTGTATTTCGAGATTTAAGAATGATTACATACCCATGCTCTATTTTCTTAGAAACCAGTGTTACATGCTCAGTACACATGCAGTTATATGAACCTTGGTTTTGCTACCCGTGACGACCTCCTCATAGAAGCTCTCTTCACCAGTTTGATATTTTTGATATCTGCAGAGACGCAAAAAACAACTAAAGAATTACAGGTAATACGCGAATCACATTTTTTTTACACCTAGTACAGATTTAACACATCAGGCGCTTTCCATTAGGCCAAAGGTTCCAGAATTTTAATCTTTTTTTAAGATACACGAACAATGATAGTCATGTAACTTTCGTTCTTCATGGTTAATGACAGTTGGAAATTTGGTAGGTAAATTTCTAATTTTAATTTTTAATCTACTCATGTTGACTGAAGCCCATAACATAGATTATCAATACCTACACAAATAACTGCATAGTGGGAGTAATTGATGACGTTGCGTCTTGGGTAGGAGAACTTCCTCTGTTGTAGCAGCATGTGTTAGCCGACATCTATAAAAAAAATGATTTGTGCCATACTCTTGAATACTTAAGAAAAAGCGATATATAAAAAAGAAAAACAGTGATAATCGTAAACAGCTTTCAAAAAAAGTATGGGTTTTAGTACCTCTAAGTCGGTTTTGCTACTTCTCTATACTCTCCTCTTAACCAAGGGCTGAAATGAGAAAATATTTACCGGGAGTATATTTACCCTCGGATGGTTCTGAAAAAGACTAGTTTGAATCTTCAACCCTTTGCTTATATTCCAGGTATTTTTAATATCACCATCTAGCTTCAAAAGTCTGACAGGACGACAACTCAGGCACATGCATACAAGAGAGCCTTATGAATGCAGATGAACAAGTCAGGAAGTATCTAAAACCTTTACGCTATGGATTTATGTAAGTTGTAAGACTTTGAGACAGTTAATGAACTCTTGATGGATCAAAAGAATTTCGACAGCCATCATGACGTAAGTTGCTTCTTGGACTCTGTTTAGAAATCTTAACGAAGCGTATTTAACTACAGTGTAGTGTTCACCCTGCAAGCAGGTAAGAGAACAATTGTCTTTAACAATTACCTTACATAAAGAATAATATGACTCATGCAGGGAACATTCCTTGCAAATTAAACTTTTTTACATTTCCAGCCAATAAACCACGTTAATTTGCTAAATCGGGATGCTTCAGATGTTAAACTATACATTATATCCCCTCCTCCAGTAAACAAGAAACGGAACTCGTCTTAGAGCACTATTTCAGTTGTCTAAATAGGTTTGCTTGGATATGACTGTGTAGAAGATATATGAATATATTGTAAATTCTCTAAGACTCGTTTCTTGCAACCAAAGTTAATACCTACTTTATCGACACACTCGGTATGCATGGTGGCAAAACGAACGATTAACCGTTTATGCCACTTTTACTTTTGTCTGATATTTTCTCAGTCAATGACCTAAAGAGGAATAGAAAGAAATACATTAAGCGTTATTTACCTAACTTGTAAAAAGTTAGAGCTATTTATCCCTTTTCAGACGAAATACCATTTGGCTGTTTTAAGTTGTACAAAACAATGTTGGCAGTTTTTCATTTAAACTCATTTCAGGACCACTTGAACGAAAAAGAAATGTGATTTGTGCATAGTTGAATTTGAATGCTCTGACTAGGGAAGGGGGGTGGGAACCGGGAACCTGTGTGCCTGGATGGGTTGAAAATCATCTTTCCCACTGTGTGAGTTTGCAAGGCAAGGCCTTCTTTTAACGGCTAAGAATTTTACTTCGCCTCCACCTCTTTTTGAGCAGCTCTGGATTTGCTTCTACAGGATAATATTTAACGCTGACTATCATTACTGCTCAGCTTGGCGTTGGATTGGCTACAGGCAGAGAAGGCAAACAGACACGTACATGTAGCCAAGAATGGATTACATTGGAACCCAACGGGGAAGCGACAGAGAGCAGGACCCCACCTCCAGGCGCACGAGAATGGCAGAGTTGGAGGAGATACGGCTTCCTAGGCATGAGGCGAAAGATACTGCACAAAACAGGGTCAGGTGGCGAGAGCTGGTCGAAGACCTATGTTCCACTAGGAACGAAGAGGACTAAGTCAGTAAACATCGTTACTCGTCAGTACTTTCATAACATCCTGCTAACCCTGTAAGTGGCTTCCTTGTTCGTTCCTTCACGTCATTCGCTTGATCTTCCCCACCGCCGTGATACAGACACAGGAACCTCTCAAAAGTGCAAAACTACGCTGCAAAACTTGCACAAGGAATATGTTTTTTACCGATTAGCGCAGGAATATACCGAAAGTAAACACGTAAAATTGAAGCAAATAAACTCGCTTACCTTTAATTGGAGCTTGATGCTAAATCCTGTTCAAACTGAGATGGTGTTAGATAGCGAGGGATGAATGAATTGTAAAATGATTTCGGTGGCATGGGGTGTGCGAGTAACTCCTGATCCATATTATGTTTGCTGAATAGGACATTGTTTACTTTTTCGATCAAATCAGCGCTTTACAAAGCCCGCTTTTGCTTTATAAAGCTTGATTTGCGTTAAACAATGCCATATTGCAACAAACATGTTTACAACCATGCAGTGATAACTCTTGTGGAATGCAAACATCTCTTACCAGTGCATGTTACTCCATTGCCTGTGTATCCAGTGTTACAAGTACAGTGATAAGAACCCTTGGTGTTGGTGCAATATCCATCTTCGTGACAGTCATGAAGATTTAGAGTGCATTCGTCCACATCTAAAAAGCATGGCGGTATACATCGCCATTATTACTTCTCAGTTTGTTTTAAATTCAACTTCAACTTCACTTTACTTTGCACTTACGTTTTGAAATTACAAGAAGAAGAAAAAAGAAAAAAAGATACATATATAACAATTAAAGGTGACAATGGTATACAGTTTGTGCATGGAGACTAATTGAACCGCGAGGTTATTGAGTTAGCTTCCATCTCGTTTGAGTGAACATAGAAAAACACGGGAGTAGAAGGACGGATTACTAAAGGAAGGAGCTAGAAGAATTGATAGAACATAGTTTTTAACACTCGTTAAAGTGTTGAAAGAATTAAGTTGAGAAATGAATGAATGAATAAACTTGGATCAATTTTATTTTCCTAATCAGTATAGCAATAGGACTACGTGCCGTCTAGCCTCCTACGCAGATACTCTGTGGGCTAGTCATGTAATCTTCCTCTCCCATGAACGACTGCTACATGCTGTCAAATCTGGAAACATCTCCCAGGTCCTTTTATAACACACGCCTGCAGGGAATCATGGTACGTGTACTTGTATTCATAATCTTCAACTGGGTATTTGTTTTGATGAATACAACTACCATGATTCCCTGCGGGTGCGTCTTATAGAAGGGAACTGGCCATTGTGGGCGAAACAAAATGTAAATTTGATGATTTCAAATATTTCAAGGCTGTAGTCGTAATACCTGCCAATACTGCGCTCGAAACTGACGTACTGTTACTTGCCTTAAGTCCGCCATGATCCAAATTAAGAATTAATGGCATGGTATTTTGGGATGGCAAAATAATTATAATATCAGCCTTAAAACATTGATCTCTCAGCCCTTATCAAAATGAGTAATTCAAAAGCCAAAATCACGCTTACTACAACCAAGAACATAAACTATTTACCAGTTCTACACTACTCACCCTATTCTTTTCTGTAAGTAAAACTTCATTCAAATTACTAATGGAATGTGACACACAAGAGACGTTTTTGGAGACACCCAAACAAAGTTTTTTTGGTAAACGTTAACCTTGTATAGAGTTACATTTCGATACACTATACCTGAGCAATTGACTCCATTTCCACTATATCCTTGATCACACGTGCAGACAAATGATCCGTTGGTATTTGTACACGTGGCATCATCGTCACAGTTATCTGTTTCTTCAGAGCATTCATTTACATCTGGAAGTAGTGTTGAAAACTTTTATTAAATGCAATAGAGGCAAAGTAATATGATTTGAATACTTTTATCATTTACAGTGCTCACTCCGATGATGATTGTAACAACAACAATAACAACAACAATACAAATGAGTGCTGTTTATAGCTATTTCTGATGGCTGACTTCTAAGAAATCTATTGTTAGAACTTAGTCTGCTACTATCTTCCGTAGAGTTTGTATTAGAGCACTGGACACAGGATCAAGCGGTCTCAGTGGTTTTGAATCCTGGCCGGTTTCATTGTGTTGTGTTCTTGGGCAACACACTTTACTCTCACAGTGTCTCTCTCCGAACCCAGGTGTATTAATCGGTGCTAGCGAATTTAATGCTGGGAGGTAACCCTGCCTGAGACTAGCATCCCATCCAGGGGAAGAGTATTCACCCAATGCTACGAAACTTGGAGATAAGCACCGGCTTGTCGAGCCGCTAGGCACGAACTCAGACTTTACCTTCGATTTACTACTAATATATGAATTTAGCCGGGAATAAAAGCGGAGCTCCTAATTGCACTAAGTTTACCATAAAAGAAAAAAGAAAATGTTTTTCTTGGATTAGTAAACTCAAAAAAATGATCAACTGTGAGCATGTAATTGTTCAGCGTGTGCCTTCCCTATTTTTCTAGTTAAAACTTGGTGTAGCCAATTTTTCCAAGATTGTAGAAATCACGTACACATTATATCAGGGCCTTGTGCAAAGAATATCTCGGGAAAAAAGTGAACAACACGCCAGGGGTTAATTCGCTCAAGACGTTTGCCTTTGCGCGTACCCCTTCCTTCTCCCCTAGAGTAATAACCTAGCTTGAGCCTGCGATCTAATCGAAAATCCATTATTTAGGCACCAGTCAACGTAAAAAATACACAACCTCCATAACTTCTAAACCTGAGCTCGCAATATGGTCATGTGATACTGGTCAGCGGATACCTTGTTTTGGTAGCTGTCAATTAGCCATAAAATGGATGTCCAATATCAAAGATGCACCTAAGGTAATGATGCTACTTTCTTATTTTTATGGTATGGGGCTTTGCACGCGCACGCGCAGTGCAAGTGGCACACAGACATACGAACGTACTGACAGTCACCTGACGACGAAATCTTTTTAGATTGATGGATTACAGAATTTTCTAAGGTATGGGGGCCCCGCTCGTGCGACCCCGGCGTGCCGGAGCTCCACTGCTACCACTATCCGGCACCACTACCACAACAACCACTATTCCCACCACTACCGCTACAGCCACTACCGCCATTACTACTACCACCACCACCACTACTGCTAAAAGTACTTCCACTGTATACGTTAAAACTACGTTAAGCCAATAAGTCACTGCTCCTTTCAAACTCAACAAGACGGTACATATCCATTGAATGGTCAGGTCGAGTCTGCACGACACTTATAATTCTGCACGACTTTTATAATTGGCACAATTCAATACCTGAACAGATCTCTCCACTTCCGATAAAGCCTACTTTACATTCGCATCTGAAAGAGCCGTCAGTGTTAATGCATACACCATCCTCATGGCAGTTATGAGTGTTTACTTGACATTCATCGATATCTTGAATGAAACAAAACGTGAAAAATAAGCGGATTATAATTCCACTGCCCGCAGGATCTACGGGAAAAAGAGAAAGGCATTGAAGAGAAGTATAATACCTATACAGGACACTCCATCTCCTGTGTAAACCGAGACACATGTGCAGTTGAACGATCCGTGAGTATTTGCACAGCTAGCATTGACATGACAGTTGTGCTTGTGAGCCAATTCACTAGTTTCACACTCGTCGATATCTGAAAAATACAAAATATCACTTTATTCTATTTCATTTCGGAGTTATTTAAGCGGAACGATCATCGCCGTCACTTTGCATGCGTCGATGTAGAGTCTTGTGTCTTATCGATCTATAAAAGAGCTATGTGGTTCACCCATGGCGAGGTGATAGAGGTTTAGGGCTGACACTCGTAAGACAGGACAGACCCTGGCCCTCCAGGTAAGGTGTCTAAAAAAACTCGCCGATTACGGAAACAGAAAGTTATCTGCGGCCATACCCTAGTAAATTCTAAACAACCTGAGAGGTAATCATCTTCAGAGTAAAAAGTGTCTGTCAGTCTGGTCTGTTGAATGCTGCAGTGTCAACAGACTCGATTAGATGGTTTCATAAAGAGCGGAAAATGAAGGCAAATGCAACGCAAACTGTGATTGTTAATAGATTACGCCGACAGGTAATGGAACTCTCTTGAGGCTCCATATTGAGGAAATACTTAATGCAAATTGGGGAAAGTTTTAATGCGTCCCTCGATCTATTCTCAGTGGACGCGCGTACAAACGTTTAGAACTTATTTGACTTATTTGCACCTTTCAGGTCGCTTTCTTAAATGTCAGTTTGACTTCTAATTTTTCGGTAAGTATGAAGGAAAATATTTGTACTTAAATAACAAACTGTTTTCTTTTGTACAGTGTTTTGAAAGAGGAAATCACCGAAACTAATTCATGAGCAGTCCACTTTGGCGGTCCGAATTAGAAAATTCGGTACGCTGAGGGAACCAATCAAAATTCTAATTTGGACCAGTTTGCTATTTAATGATTTCGCTCAAAAGATGTTTTACATTAGTGAGTTTACATTGTATTAATATTATTAACTGTTAAACTATCATTTACACGAAATAAATTTTCCTGACCTGTACAGTTAATCCCATCCCCCAAAAAGCCATTCTTGCAATGGCACTCAAAGTGAGTCGGTGTATTTACACACAAAGCATCTTCATGACAGTTGTCATATTCCAGGTCACACTCGTCAAAATCTGTAAGACACAAGCAAGCATATTTGTAAAAATAGTCAGATCTACAGTATTCTTGGGTTTCACGCACGTGACCAATAGCGTAGCAACGGTTACTATCCCCCATCTTGGTGTCCCTCAAGCGTAAACAAAGCGTATCCAAAGAAGAGTTCATGTGAGAAAAAAGGGATGGTTTTATGCGTTGTTGTTGGCTGTTCGAGCAAAAGTGGAAATCGTAAAGGCTTAGGGTTTTTTCGTACACCTAAGATTATTACAAATCAAGGGGAAGAACAGGAGAAACTCACTATTAGGAGGAGAAACGAGTGGATTTCTGCGGTGGGTCGCGGCGACGCTACAAACAAGAGAGTGCTAGAGAGTGAACGAGTTTGTAGCAAACTCTTCGTTCTGAAACTACCGGAACAGAGCGGCTTTGGTCGTTAAATTGGTCAGCAAAAGGATCAATTAAACTTAAAGCTACTGCTTTAACTTTGCAGTGGTTGAGTTTGGCATAAAGCTAATCCATTTCCTCTTTCGAAGGCGCCGATGCGCGCTGCATGCGCTGAGGCGCCGGCTGATGCAGTCCCAGAACTAGAAGCTGCTACATGGTTCGAGGCTTGCGGCTGTTGTAGATCCTCAATTTTCTCGGCTGGTCGAAGTTTTCTTTGAGCTTGTTGGCCGATGAAAAATCGATGTCCTTAGCCCTCGCATCCGGCACTTCATTGACATATGTCGGGAAAATCCATGAGCATTTTACCTGTGTGCAAGCGAGCTTGCCATGAATTCGTGTAGTTGCCTCTAAATAAAATGAAACACTCGCGATATGTGAGCATGACTCAGCCAGTCCAGCTTTGCATCCCAAGCAATGGGCTGACAAAATAGTCCCATCGTTTTC